AGACAGTGATGCACTTATGAGGCCACCACCACCAGAAGCAGGCGGATGAGCTTAGAGGTGCCAGCATGTATCGTACCCATCCACAGAGCAGTCTGAAGCCTTCTCTCCAATTTACATGCCTTTTTAGTTCCTTTTCTGCAGCGAGGGAGGGGCATTTTAATATCGCCTAGAAGATATTTGCAGTGATTTGAATTCCTTCCTGCCTACCACTTCTCCCTGCAAATTTACCCTCACACCATACTAATATTACATGGGAAGCAGAGGGCCAGGATCCCTTTGCCACAAAACGTGTGGTCCTGCCTTAAGTATGCTGTGGTGCATAGTGAAGAAAATGAGATTGGCCAAGTTCCACCCATTTGCCAGTTTGGTGTAGTGGTTAAGAGCGCTAGACTCTAATCTGAAGAACCAGGTTTAATTCCCTACTCCACATGCAGCCAGCTGGGTGACCTTGGGTCAGTCACAGTTCTCTCAACAGCAGTTCTCTCAGAGCTCTCTCAGCCCCACCTACCTAACAGGATTTCTGTTGTGAGGGGACGAAGGGAAGGATATTGTAAGCCGCTCTGAGATTCCAAGGACAGGGTATAAATCCAACTCTTCTTCTCCTTCTTCTGGCTGAATAAGGATTCATTCCTTAAGCCTTCCCAACCAAGTTCAGCCCTCCAGCCCTAGCCACCAGTTCTCACTCTTTCTCACAGTGATAGGCATACATTTTCTAAGTGACATACATTCATACCATCACATTCAACAGATGCCAGATAATTCCCTCTAAAACAGGACATTTTTATAACACCATTGAAACTATAACAGAACATATTTCTTTATGTTAAAGAAAGTGAAACCATCAGTATATGTTTGAGATGTGCCATAGATTTACCAGAGAATGATCTGGAGGCAGAGGATACTGAAGCTAAGGAAGTCTGGACTTATGAGCTACCTGGATGGGGAACCATACTCCCAGGAACCAAATACAAAGTGCTTTGAATTTTGTGAAGGAGTGACGGGGTATGTGACAGCTAATGAAACCAATGAACTTGATAGAAAAGCAATTGGCACAAATCCTGACTCACGAGAACCAAGTAAAGCTCAGGTAGATGATAACTGCACTATTGACAGCTTTGCTGCTGTAAACCAAATCAACCTACTGGCATCATTCCAGAATCCCATACTTTGGGTATGGAGTTGAAAAACGGGGGTGCACAATTTGCCTGATGAAAAGGCTGTTAGTACCGAGAGAAGGAAAATATTGGGACATACTAAAACATTCCAAATGGATGGAAAATACTTTCTTTCTGATGAAAATAAGTATATTGTTGTTATGGTTATCATATTATTTCTTGTAAATTTCTCTTTCCACACCAAGGATCCTTGAAGTGTGAAGATCTGCCCATTAACAGTTGTGACTAGAAGCCAAGAGCAGGAAGTGGCTGGTGTTCCCTGAGGAAGGCTTCATTGTTCTACCGTAACCAGCCACCTGTTTCTTCTTCCCCTACCTCGCACAAACACTTTTTATTATACCACATGTATACTCCTGGTAGAAGTAGAAATGTAAGTAGAGTATTACATCATTGTTTTCCACGAGCATACTTTAGTGTGGGCCTTTTGCCATTCTCATATCTCTGTTCAGGATAATGTCAGTAGGTACAGCATCAGCTTTGACTCCCCTACTGTGTTTCTTGACTTGAATAAACTAGATCCCATGGAGGTCTGGGTACAAAGATATGCCATGTGTGACAGACAGAATTACACAATGGAGTTCTGAACAGACTCAGGTATGTGACGATATGATTGTTTTCTCTGTGCTAACCTAGACAACAGACATAAACAAGTGGGGGACCTGCAAGGACTTGCAGGGGGCATCTCATTTCTCCCTCCACCAGGATTTCCACTTCCCTGAAAGCCCCTATAGCTTCTCATCTTTTCTTCCCTCCTCCTTGCCTTCTCATCCACCCATTAACCTACCATTGTCTCCTCTCCTGTCTTCAGTTTTCCCTCCTTTCCTACACCTGGCAGCCTCTCCCTGGCAAAAGTCTAGCTGAGTTGAACAGTGTTGGCTGCCAGGTCAGGCCCAGTTGTCCACTGAGGAACCTGCAAGGACTTGTGAAGGGCACCTGTGTCCCATGTGTCCCTTTCCCCAAAACTATTTCTTCTTTCCCTTCTCCTGGCAGCCCCCATGTCCTCACCTTTTTCTACTATCTTATCACCTCTCCACCCACTAACTAACCTATCCCATCTTTAGCTACATTTATTCTTTATTTACTATATTTATAACTTGCCTTTCTCTACAATGTGGACCCAATGTAGCTGATGTCATTTTCCATTTTATCCTCACAACAACCCTATGAAGTAGGTTAAGCTGAGTGTGTGATTGGCCCAAGGTCACCCAGCAAGTTTCTATAGCAGAATGGGGGTTCAGACTTAGATCTCCCTCCAGATCTTATTCTGAAACTCTAAATCACTACACCACACCAGCTTTCATGAGGTGGCTGCTGTTGAACAGTAGCAAAGAGCTGGGCCTGAGTAGGTCATAGAACTCATGCAGTATCAATTATGTATGGTTGCTGCCAGGCCTGGCCCGAATGAGTTCTCCCTTAAAGGCCAAAACAACCCTGGAAATGACCCTGTCCCTCCCCCTGCCTTTTACTGACAGAAACCAAGACCAACTTGCAATACTGTCGTGGCTTCCTAGCAGCAGCCACTGAGGAAATTTGTTTCTTGACACTTCTATTATTGCAGGGGGGTATGTGTGGCCCTGCAAGAAACTTGCAGGGAAGGTACATCCTTTCCCCCTTTCTTCCCCCTTCCCCTTCTCTGTCAACTACCCCTTCTCTATTTCTCACCCCTTCACAGACTATCTCCCTCTTTCTTTCCCCCCTTACCTGACAACTTACACCCTCTTCCCCCCATCTCCATCAACCTACCTCTTCCCTGTCAACCTATCTCTTCTCCTCTTTCTCCCCATACCCTTATGTCAACCTACCCCATCTCCCCCCACCCCTTCTCCATCAATCTACACCTTCCCTTCTCTGTCAAACTATCCCCTCTCTATCTCTCCCCCTCATTCTCCCCACCCTTATATGTCAACCTGCCCCATCTCCTTTTTGCCCCCACCACTTTCCAATCAATCTCCCCTCTCCTTCTCCATTAACCTACCCCTCTCTATTTCGCCCCCTCTTTGTCCTCCTCTCATTATTTGTCAACCTTCCCCCCTCTCTTTTGCCCTACCCCCATCTCCATCAATCTCGCCCTCCCCTTCTCTGTCAACATAATCTGGCTCTCTCGAATTCTCCACCATCTTCTTCTTTGACAATCCAACTTCTTGTCAATATTTCCCTCATCTCTCCCGTCTTACCTGACCTGCCACAGCAGCTGCAGTGTCAGAAACATTCTCTGGGCCCAGAGCAGCTTCCCTATCACCAAGCCAGGCATGGCTCCAGGCCTCCAAGCCCAGTTGCAGCAGTAGCAGAGTCTAGGAGCTGCTCCAGGCCTGGAGAGCCTTGCAGATGCTGTCGCCAATGAGCTCAAGTTAGAAGAGCCTCCTAGACACTGACGCTACCATAGCCAAGACCCAAGAGCCTCCTGGATGCTGGCATCACCACAGACAGGCCCAGAGTGCCTCTCAGAGGCCAGCACTGCTGTGGCCAAGACCAAAAAGCCTCCTGTCACCCACCGCAGCTGCACCCAGAGGAGTTCCCAGCATCCTCCACCACTGCAGCCGGAGCCAGAGAGGTTCCCCGGCATCCTCCACCGTTGTGGCCCGGCCTGGAGTGGCTCCCTGTGGTGGTTGCGCCAGTTCTACAGGTAAGCATAAAATAAAAGGTATTGGGGCAATTAAATCCCCTATTGTTTTTGGATTTCACATTTTTCTGCAAACTGGGGGGGGGGGAGTTTTCAGGAAAATCTGCTTAGTGTCTATGTGGCCCTGACCCACAAATTTAGCTATCTAGATTTAGATGATGATGATGATGTATAAAAATCTGCAGATGGGGACCACTTGTCACTATTAGATATTATTAATACCCCGGCCCCCTGGTGTATTTTTTGAACATTTCAGATTGTCTGCAAACCTGGGGAGTCCCCCAAGTTTGCTGAAAAATCTGTTTAGTGTCTATGTGGCCCTGACCCACAAATTTAGCTATCTAGATTTAGATTTAGATGATGATGTATAAAAATCTGCAGATGGGGACCACTTGTCACTATTAGATATTATTAATAATAATAAGTATTATTATTATTTCAGATTTTTCTCAAACCTGGGGCTTTTTTCAGGTTTGTAGAAAGATCTGTCTTGTCTGTTCATGGTTCCAGTATCTGGATTTAAATATCCACGGATCTTGCCACCTTGAGAATTAGATATATTGATAATTCCCATAGCTTTATTGTGCCTTTTGAGTTCCCGGTAAGGAAACTGGAATCCCAACAGCATTCTGTACAATCCAGTGATTTGCAGGGCAACAAGCCAATGCTGTTAGCAGGCCAGTTATGTTGGGAGTGAGTTTTAGGGATCTTCTGGGCATTTGAGTATGAAACCCCAGCTCAAGTCAACTCCTTTTTTATGGCATGAGCTTTCAGACAATACCTCGGTTCACCAGGAATAAGTTTCATGTTTCTGTTGAAAAGGAAAAATATTTTTAAAAAGTCAAACACAAACAGTATGTTTGAAACTAAACCAAGAGAAATTTAAACATATTAAAGAAAGTTTCCTTTTAATTGATATTATCTTTGCAATAAAAATCAATCTTACTGAAATGTTGTCATTTGACCCTTAAACAAAAGAAAAGATTCACAAATCCTAGTAGATGTACAGTGTAATCCTAAGGAAAGTTACAGCCTTCTAAACCTATTGACTTCGATGGATTTAGAAGGGTGGTAGTCTTTGGATTGCACTGATTCAGTTATGTTGGAATTTACTGGGGGTGTTTTAAGCTATAATATCATCCTTTTTCTTGGAGAAGAAATGTATATATTAATTCACACCTTATATATGAAATAAACAAGGCTTTTTATCATGCAGAATTCTGTATTTGGTCCCTAGAAGAAATAGTGACACATACTTAGCCAAGCTCAATGTGTGGGAAATGAAAAAGAAATAAAAGAACAGGTTATTTCATAGGTTGCTGGATGAAACTTTTCCTCATTCAGGAATTAGTAGTATGCAACTCTGCTACAAAACCCAAACCAAATGAAGCTCCCTTTGTTGCCATCTGTGGTTCAGTCATGGAGGTCTTAAGATTTATGGTAGTAGCAAGTACTGCAGTGACAATCAGTGTGATTCTCCATGGTTGTGTTGTCATCAAAGGGAATCTTGGGAGAAGAAAAACAAAGAATAATATATTATAAATAATTTTTTTTTAATGATGTTGATGGATGGCCAAAAAAAACCCCCTTAGTTGTACCACAGTGGAAATTTTCGTCTATGCGAACTCTACAATTATATCAATCTGAACTACTGTTGAACCAGTGGCTCAGGAACCTGGCAGAGTGTCGAATCCTTAGTCCAAGTGCTTAAGGATATTATTCCCATACACACAAGTAGGACTGGTAATTTGGTCTCTTGATCAGCAGTATCCTATTCCATCTGGCAAACTATATCTAAGGCTATGTTTGAGGCCAGTGGCACCTTTAAGACCCACAATGTTTAATTCTGGATATTTGTGCATGCACTCTTCTTCGGTATCTGATGAAGTGATGTAAAGGTTCAGTGCCCTTGTTTTGGCAAGCATGCAGGGGGTAGGACCAGTGCATTCAGTTCAGAATATAACAACTGTATGTGCATGGAGTGATCCTGACCTGGATAGCCCAGGCTAGCCCGATCTCATCAGATCCCAGAAGCTAAGCAGAGTTGGCCCTGGCTAGTATTTGGATGGGGGACCTCCAAGGAACACAAGAAGAAGAGGAGAAGGAGGAGGAGGAGATTGTATGTATACCCCGCCCTTCACTCAGAGTTTCAGAGTGGCTTACAAACTCCTTTCCTCCCCACAACAGACACCCTGTGAAGTAGGTGGAGCTGAGAGAGCTCTGAGAGAACTGTCCTTGAGAGAACAGCTCTGCCAGAACTATGGCTTGCCCAGGGTCATCCAGCAGCTGCAAGTGAAGGAGTGGGGAATCAAACCCGGTCCTCCCAGATTAGAGTCCACGCACTTAACCACTACACCAAACTGGCTCGTGACATGGGGGCTGGCAATGGCAAACTACCTCTGATAGTCTCTTGCCTTGAAAACCCAACAAGGTTATCATAAGTCAGCTGTGACTTGATGGCGCTTTCTACCACCACCATGTGCATTGGGTATGTCCCTGTAATCAGGGACACTGGAAAAAGCAGCATTTGTGATTACAAGGACAGAACCTATGCTTATGTGGTTTCTATACATTTAAGCTCAGTGCCTGCATTATGACAGATGAGCATAGCTGGAGATTCAGTCCCAAGCAGGGCAGAGGTGGAGCCACAATGTCAGTCACCTTCATCCCCTCTGTGTGGTGCCCTGTACGTGCTTCTGTCATATATCCCCAGCAACTGCCTTTAGTTGTTCCAGAGTAAGACCTTGCCTCTCTCAGGTAGGAATGTGTACAATGTTAACAAAAAATTATTTTCAACATGTGCTCCCAGCTGCCTGTGGCCTCTGCTTCTTTCTCCCACCCCGATCTTCAGCAGCTATGTTCACAAAGCTCATAGCAGCAGGGCAAACAGAGGATGTAATAGCAAGCAGTATCCACTGCTTATATAGAATTTTAAAAGCCCTCTTCAAGCCGATGGGGACAGTGGACTTGAAGGGCAACGGAACTACTGTGCCCCTGTCACTTAGGGCAGATGCACTGATTATGAAGCCCTCGTGTCCTATATCTACCACTGGCCTTTCAATGTGTGTTCAGAGTTCCATGCTTGGGACTTAATTCCCAGCCATACACAAGCTCAGTTAGGATTGGAACTTGGCAAATGGTTAGAAGAGGCTTAAGCTTTCCCTCCACCCCATCGTCCCAATGAAAAATGGTTGTGGGAAGCTGCTGACTCATTGGGGGCTACAGCAAATTCTGGCTCTCTGGGGATATTTTGGGTTGAAAAAATGGCTTAAGCCCCCTCTTCCTGGTCATAGACAGCGGGATTTGAACTGAGCCTGTGTGCCTCTGAATTCCCTTCTGAGCACAGAACTCTCAGCACACATCTAATCAAAGTGGCCACAAGAACTCCACAACATTCTTTTTATTATGTTATCTCCCCATGCTGCCTCTCATGTGACTGTTAAAAGCAGACAATGCACACACCATAAGTTACTGTGAAGAAGAAGAGTTGATTTCATTCTCTGCTCTTCACTACCGGAAGGAGTCTCGGAACGGCTTGCAGTTCCCTTCCCTTCCTCTCCCTCCCCACAACAGAAACCCTGTGAGGTAGGTGGGGCTGAGAGAGCTCTGAGAGAATTGTGACTGGCCCAAGGTCATGCAGCTGGCTTCATGTGGAGGAGTGGGGAATCAGACCCAGTTCTCCAGATTAGCGTCAACAGCTCTTAACCACTACACCAAGCTGGCTCTTAACCACTACACCAGTTGTCAGAATTTTTAACCATCATATATAAAATATTAACAACTTTAAACATGAGACAGGACTCAACTTGGGGATTCATTAGTTGATATCATAAGAACATAGGAACAAGAAAAACCTGCTTGATCAGATCCATGATCCATCTAGTCCATTATCCTGTTTCACACCGCGGCCCATCAGTTGTCCTGGAGGGACAACAGGGCATAGAGGCCAAGACCGTCTCCACCTGCTTAATATGAACAAAATATATACCATGAGATGGCAACAAATATGCCTAGACTCTTCTTTAAATTTACTTATAAACGGGGGTCTTGTTGTAGAAAAAGAGCTGCCGGAGCTCATTAGCATAACTCATTAGCATAACTTATTTGCATATGCCAC